CAAAGCATAGACAAAATGACAAAAAGAAACATTACAAATATTATTCGTTTATTTATTATAGTTTTTCGAACAAATATACAAAAACAATTTTTTTGTCATATAGTTAGCCTTGTGTTTTATTAACATAATTGTATAAACATTTTTTTAACATTCAATGATAGAAAGCTGAACATAGCAGTGGGACCTAGATAATCAACAAAATGTTAACCGAACTCTTTTTTTGTGTAGGTACCAAACAGCAATTTCACGCTTAGAGTATTTTTTATTACTAATTTTACATGTCGAAAATAGGATGACAAATTGTTTGTAGAACAATTTAACTGGAAGTACCTTAAGCTGTTTATAGTTTTGTACCGTGGAGCCTACAAGATCTTTTTTGTCCAAACAAATTCTTATTATAAAAATGTTGTTGAATTTCCATAGGTCTCAGAGCATATTATGTTGAACATCCACCCCATTCTATTAATTCATATTGAAAGACAGACTTATATAATGTTTGGTAAATGGTGCGTATATAGTGTCCGTTGGCAGTATTTTATTAGTTTATAAAAAGTATTTAATATAAAAGACCTTAAACGCATTACTAAAATATTAATATGAACATCCCAGGTGAAATTGCTATCTATAAATATACCTATATGCTTAGCTATATTCTACTTTTAAATCTTTTAATAATTAAAACAGTACAAAAAGTAATCGTTGCAAGAATGAATTTTGATTTTATCAACAAAGGTAGATTACTAATGGAAAAACGGGTCAAGTGCTAGTCGGACTCTGGCACTAATGGTTCCTACCATCATCAGCTATAAACATGTTGGCAACACTGCTTATTTTATATAGGTATTTTAGGATTTTTAGTATTTTTTTGTTATAGCTGCAACATAAATACATAATCTGTGAAAATTTCAACTTTCTAACTTGCATGGTTCACGAGATACAGCCTGGTGACAGACAGACGGACAGAGGAGCCTTAGTAATAGGGTCCCGTTTTACCGTACGGAACCTTACAAATCGTTAAAAAACAGTCTTAAGTACTATTCAGAGACAGCTTTCTATTTTTTAAATTATTAATATTCCATTTACACCTAATTCTGCTGGGCTTGTCATTCTCATATGTTACTAGAGAAGAATTTTCCATCAATGATACATTTAAATAAGTGTTCCACTTGTTTTAGTTTGTTTACATTTATCGCCCGAACCAGTGGCGAGAATAAAAAAACGTAATTTTATTATATTTAAGTTAAAATTATTGTAATTAATCATGCAAATATGGAAAAATATGTATAAATTCATCTCAAAAGAGGATCAACCACATAATTTCTCCACTTTGATACACCCTTTGATATACAGTCCGACAACTTCGCGCATAAAACTCTAAATACCTTGGTGTAAACAACTCATCCCAAATTTAATTTTTACATATTGAAATATTTAGAATAATATTCTGCTTTAGAACATAAAATTAAAAATTGATCATTGTACTAAAAATAAATGCGTAAAAATATATAACGATAAAAAATAGTTATAAATATAATTTTTCTGTTTTTTTATTACCTACCTACCTACAATTATGTAAAAAAAGGTGGGCAAGTGGGTGTCGCTCTGCTGTACAGTAGGTTACAAGTGGGTCACTGTATAATGTATGATATTAAATTTGAATTCAACGATATAATATCATTATATAAGAAAAACGATTCTGAGCGGAGACGGTATGTCAGTCTATGTATAAGACATATTATATACATATCTATGGTATTAAACAAAAAATTGACCTATAATGGGTACCTATAATAAATTCCAAATTAATCATATCAAAATATCCATTAGGTACTTATAACGCGTTATACATCAACAAAAACCGTGATACTATCATAGATATATAATAGTACAGTTTAGAAGTTTCAAGTATCCACGAATAATATTATTCAATCACAACAAAATAACTAAAATAGTTATTCTAGGTTTTTTAATATGTAATTTCGTCCAAATTTGAATTTAAAATGTCTGTAAAAAATAAGTGTGTTCATATATTTTTTAGATTTTTTGGTTACAGTATGAACTATTTACGAGAACCTTTGTGTTGAATTTGCAATCCTTAGCTATAAAAACTGAACATTTTATAATTTATTAATTACAATGGTTGATAATTTTCGAGATTTTGATAAATTTTGTCAAAATTTGATCTTTAAATGCTTATAAAAAAAAATTGTGCCTATGTATTTTTAATATTTTTCAACTGATATTGTAACAATATATCAGGAGCCTTGTATTAAATGTTTACACTTTTTGGCCCAACAGATAAAACTTTATTGATATTTATAGAAAAAAAAACTAAAAAAAAATTGAAAGCTGTAAAGGTCCATGAACAGCTCAAAAAGAGTCAAAATATTTTCAAAATTGTATGGTGTATAGGAAATGCTAATATAAACATTCAGTGAAATTTTCATGTATCTACAGTTATTTGTTTTTGAATTACAACAAAATAAGGAAATCGCTACATGGGAAATCGAGTGAATATTCAATGTTGTAAAAATTTGAATTTCAAAAGCTCATAAAAATTTAATTTGACTTTCTTATAGACATTTTTTTTTTTTTTGATAAAGGTAGATAATCTTATGAGGAATCTTGTATTACATTTTCAAATCTTAGATTTAAAAAGAAATATTTTTACGAATTCTTAACTCAAAATAATTTGCTAATTTTCGTGATTTTCCCATATTTTGTCAATTTTTGAACTTTAAATGCTTATAAAAAAAATATGTGACTAAGGATTTTTAATATTTTTCATCTGCCTTTGAAACAATATATTAGGAGCCTTCTATTAAATTTTCAAGCTTTCGCAACCAACAAATAAAATTTTATTGATATTTTTAGAAAAAAAACTAAAAAAAAATGGAAAATGAAAATGTCCATAAACAGTTCAAAATAAATCAAAATATTTTGAAAATGTTATCGTGTATAGAAAATGCAAATATAAACAACCAGTAAAAATTTCATGTATATACGTTCATTTGTTTCAGAGTTACACCAAAAACCAAAATCGATTTTTTGGAAAACCAATTTTGCGTAAAAATTACCGTTTTTCCTTAATTTTTATGTTGTTTTTCCCGGCGCTTGTGAAAACTACTGGGAAATTTATACTTTTGACCCCCCAAAGTACCAACTAGATTCACTTTCCTATCAGAAAAGCTACTGATGAAGAAAATCCAAGCACTTTTACTGTCCTAAAACGTGATGACAGACACAAAAAAAAATAAAAAAATAAAAAATAAAATAAAAAAACACACATCATTGTAAAATCAATACATTCATCATTTCACTCAGAATCTAAAATATTTTCAAAATCATTAATAGTTTTTGAAAATGAGGGGCTAATGATAAAAAAAACCACCCTATATGCATGTTAACACGCAACCGAATGTCATTAAATTTGTTTATTTAGGTAAAAAATAATGCTTAACTGATTATCAAATCATTTAAGTTAAGAAAACATTAAGATAAAACGAAATAAAAATAAACATAATATATTAAAATCTTACTAAATCAGATGTGTTTACAATATATTAAGGAAAAACTATGAATATATCATCAACAAATATTGGTAAACCTGTGAAGCATTCAAACAATTTTAAAAACAGACATTTTGAAAATAGAAATGATTTTTTATTACTTGGTATAGACTGGGATAAAATAGTTAAAAATACTGTGAATATTTTCATACTTGAATTTAACACATTTAATTTATTTTACAAACTCAATGGGAATATTATTTAAAATGCTTAAAATCCTCTGAAAATAATAAAGAAATATTTTATTTTATCCAATGACTAAATTAAACAATTACTGGCGTTACTGGAATTAATACATTAATTTCATTGAAATTAATTAATTAGAAAAAATAATAATAATTAAAAAAGGAATATTATTTCTTAAACACATATTGTGTTAAACATTTAGCTAACTCTAAAATGTACTCAAAAACTAGATCCAGAATATTATTGAAAAATCATAGTATTGTAATTACTAAATAATATAATAATATTATAGGGTTAGCCGAAATAAAAAAATGATTTTCCAGAATGCAATTTATTTTTTTTTTTTAATTTTACCTTTGTGACTTAAACGCATCTGGTATAAAATAAGCTTTTTCGTTCATAATGCATTATTTTTATAGTTATAAACGTTAACGTTAAGTACCTATACACTGAAGCACAACTGTACATAATATAGTTCAGTAAGCAGTTCATATATATTCGCACGAAAGTGTTTCATCGAAAATTAATTTATTAACACTGTCGTTAATTCGACCATTAACACCGTGAAATTTTTTACATTTTAATTGCTTTCGCGATGTTAAATTTAATACATTTTTGTTCATATTTTTAAAAAGATATATTTTAGTGTTTTTAAATTTACAGTGTTCCTAATGAACGACAATAGATATCATATAATATTTTTACATCCAAGATTACCTTTTCCTTGTATTTTTTAATAAAAATAATAATATAATACCTACAGAGGTGATTCATCCTGAAACTCGTAAGTCATCATTCCCCTCGGCCCCTCTAACCAATTTAATTTTTTTATATTAAAATAAAATATGGAATTCAAATAGAGCCAGTTTATATCGATAAGGCAAAATATTTTACAATTGATATAAAGAATGATATATTTTGTTGGGAATCATATGTATTTTATTATATACCAATCTAAATTGGAAACCCTTATCCCTTTAGGTTCTATGCATCGACTTAAGTGACTCCATTCCAGCCAAATAAAAACAATTAATACCGTAAAAAAACTCAGTCTTATATAAGCTACAGTCCTTATGTTTTTATTCTGTATTATGATAATATCTAAATCGCTTATCGTTAGTGTTTATCTAACGGGAAGCTATTATTCTTTCATAAGTATGAACACAAAAACACTCCCATATTTATTTTTAGATTTTTTTTTATTATTAAGCAAATAACAGAAATATTATTAATCTTCATCATTACCTGACGAGACCGCAACCGGATAGATGGACAACATGAACACCAACCAATACCCCATGTTCGTTTTTATATTTAACGTCGTTTGCCAGTCATCTGTTTCGGTGTCATTATCATAACACTATCCCTGGAAAGCAAAAATACATAGATACTTTTAAAATACAATTTTTAAAGAAAAAACTGAAAATTGTTTGCAGTAAATATTATATATTAATAATAATTTATTATAGACGCAATGATTCAATGAGCATTTTTTTCCGTGTCATCTAGTTTTCCATGAACGTAAACAATAATAATTTAAAACTTTAATTTTTTTCATCTAACGCATATTATAGATTTTCGTATACTCCGATGAACCGGTCGGTGTACGGTCCAGTTAGTGTCGGTAAATATAGTAAGTCATTTCGCGTTTTATATTATATTTTTATAAAAAATTATAATATCGAGTTGTGCCGCTTCCAACTTGGAACAATGTAATTAATGAACAACAGACATCATCGTCTGAACAAAACTATAGTTGCTCGCAGTCCGCTGCAGCTGCCAGCCACTGTGAAAACTTCCCGGATCGAGACAATTAAAATTTAAAATAATATTTAATGCGGGAAATCTTGATCTCTTGATGGAAACCTGATTGAAAAAAATATTTTCTTCGATGTAATGTATTATTATCGTTAAGGCCGCCGCAGCCGGAGCAACTTTTTGCGAATCGGTTGCGCCCGGCTTAATTAATCCGATATTATATACATAGTATAAACAGGAAACCACCACAACCACCACTACCATCACCCGTTTCCAAGTCAGTAGAATTAATTTTTCTTTTTTCTTTTCCCTATCAACTTTTACCCCTTTGGTTTTACTGACCAACCGACCGACCGAACCGAAATTCGTTTTGCGAAATAATATTCTCCCAGTCCTCGTTAATTGAGTTACACGCCCTTATATAAAACCATATTACATATAATATTGTATAATATATATATGTATATATATATATTATATGTAATATGTATATACGAGTATATACGCGCACAACACATTACTCGCCGACAGCCGCATAAAGAATAATCATCGGCCGCCGTTTTTGGCAAATGTTGGAGCTTGTGTGTGTGCGGGTGTTCGAGAGTATTCGCGTATTATCGTCGTTGCCTTTACCCCGCCGCCGCCGCCGCCGTCGTTGTAAACACCGCCAACACGCCTCGGGAATCCAACGGAATGTCAATTAAGCCGAATTAAACGTGGTAGACCGCTCGGCTGACGGGTCACGCACTACGGGCAGATACACACGCACGCATTACCCTCTTCGCTGGCATAAATTCAATGAAAGACAATCCCCCCGTGCAATGACTGACGACGAGCTCGGCCGGAAGTACGCGCACGGCTCCGCCGGATCTTCCGACACTATATGTATTTATACATATTATATATGCATATGTATATAATAATAATATGAGTACCTACATGACTGTATAGTTGTAGTCGTGTACAGTAATAAACAATAATAATAATATGGTTCGCATAAGTTATTCAACGTGGGTTAAGGGTGTGAACGGCGAGACGTATATTTTGTCCATTTATATTTTATAATATACTAAAATATCCTCGCTACAGTTCAATTTTGGGTTTTTTAAAATATATATGTATTCAGTGTCCACACGTTATAGTTGAGAACGCGTATCAATATATATATATATATAACTAATTCCTATATTATGGGTACCTTTTTTATCAAACATTTTGGATATACCTAATGCAATATTGCGATTGACCTAATTCCGTGATATTATTATTACGATCTATTCATCTCACTCAGGTTTATTACGTATTAACTGGAGTAAGCTGTTCGCGATGCAAAAAAGTCTGAACGATCCTTTTTGGCTAAATGAAGAGCAAAACAATTTGGTTCGAAAAATTACGAGAGGAAATGGATTACAAATCCATCGTATATGCTTAAGCATAAGAACATATCTTGACAGTCGAATCAAGTGAGATAATAAAATTGTATTGAACTGATTGATTTAATAAAGGGGAAGGGGAGTTCACCCTAGTCCCTAATGTCCCGTCGAAATATATAGGGTTAGTTCTAACACCCAAATTAATTTTACCCCATTTACACCCACCATGGTTAAATCATTGTGACAAAACTCCAGACGGAATATAATAACGCACGTCATACGGAAATTAGTCTTGTGCGCCACTTGTATTTATGACGCATAATAGACTCGTCAATTATAGGCCGGTACGCCGCGGTAGAACGATAATTATTATCGGAAACGAGACAATCGCGGTTAATATACGAAATTCGTTTACGCCGCACAACTACGTAGGCGGTATAAATTATAATATTATGATCAATCGAAACGATCGTATTTTTTCTAGACTGTCAATTACAGCAGATGGTCTCTTATCGCAGTTATATAACTACCAGATTTTTTCATTCCCTACTCCACGACGAAATTAATACATGACATAAATACGGAATACTTATTATAATATTTTGTATATTTATAGTCGGATTGATGATGAGTTCTGAAAAATAAAAATTAGTTAGCTATCCAATTATAAATTTTGTAATATATAATTTACAGATGAAGGTTATAATATATTACAATGGATCTTATCTCCATGAAAAACAGAATTATTGAACAGGGGACGGACGTATATTGAATAAGTGTTTTGAAGAAAAAAAAACTGATCGAATTTATCAGATGTGCACGACAAAAAAAAAATTGAAATGGAACGGTGATTACGAAGACGGTAATAATAAGTAATAACCAGAAAAAAAGGGCCAATTCGTGAAGTGGCTAGAGTGATAGTGAGGACAACACGCGCGGGGTAGCGTTAGAGCGTGGATCTGGTAGGTGGTTGGGGGTGGTGGACGTAATATAAAATATATATAGTGTGATCAGAATTAAAACGCAAAATTAAGAAATACATAAAATTCGAAAGTAATAAAATAGGAAAACAGGTTAATCACAAATAATTGATAAATTTGTTTTTAAAACACTCTTATTGGGGTGTAAGCTTTTGAAAATCATATGAGAATGCATATTTTTTTTAATAAATACGTAGAGATATATTTTTTAATAGACTTAAGAATGAAAACATATTTTAACTGTTTGTTCATTGTCTGAATAATTCAAAAGAAAAAACATTAGAGTTACTTTTAGACATTTAATAAAACGATTATATTTATAATTTATGCGTTGGTTAAGAAGATAAACAAATTGTCAATTTTAACACTTAATGTAAATCCTGTAGTAAATTAAGAATACTTATCTACTTAAGTACATATGTTTAATACAATATTCAGTATAATATGTAAGCACCAAAATATAAATAGGTAGATATTATAATAGGATGTATGCCGTAATATATACCACGTATAAAAAACAAAATAAGTCTTAATTATTATTGTTATGCGTTTGAATATAATTAAATAATATGTTTCAAGATAAATAAAAAACACATTTTATTTATTTCAATTTAATGCAACCAGAACATGGTATAATAAGTAAACTGTGTTACAATATAGACGAGGCAAGGTTTTCCTAATTTTGAGTATAGTAAATGCACTCCGTTATAAATTTAGTCATATTTACATTAGTAACGATGGTTAATAACCATTAAACATATTATGTTATGTTATATTGACAGTTACCCAGATACCTCAGTCACGGTTGTTTTAATATCTTATTAATTTTTCCGATCCCTTACTTCATTTTGACAACCTGTAACGGGGGGACACGCGTTTACGTTAAACCTTATGATGTGTTCTATAAATCGTTCAATCAATATTAGGTCCAATGACGCGGTACATCAGCGGATGCACATGGGTGGGAAACCATAATTAACTTATATATATATATATATATATATTCGTGGGACGTGTGCAACAAGTCTTTTACTCAAAAAGGCGCTCAGATGTGGCACACTAGCAAACGCGCCTGGACTGTGTCTTCAGTTGTAAATGATTTAAGGGCCAAATAAACAGAGATTAAGTCAGGTTATCGCTGTTCATGTAGTAATATATCATTAATAAATAATAAAATTGAATTGCAATTGGTTTTTCAATGTCTGCGAGGACAACGCTGCTTTTTTGTTATTTGTTGATTTTTTCCATTTAAATTATTTATTATATACACTTGGTGTATTGTGCACTTAAAAAATATTGCCAAGTTTAAAATGTTTATAAGCTCATCACGCCAGAGAATGTAATGTACGAGACAGTGTTTTCCAAAGCCTGAATTTAAGCTGAATTAAAAAAAAATTATTTATGGCTGAGATATTAAGCATATTTTAATTTTTAACATCAGGTCCAAGTAACCTTCGGAATAATGGACTAACTGAAATATCTATGACATAACACATAAAATATGTATCAATTTTAAATTTATTGTTTTTTTTTAGATCCAATATTTAATAATAATAAAAAAAAAATTACTTCCGAAAAAGTTAATAATTGTCGAGAAAATGACTGTTAACCTTTAAAACAATCACTCTGTATACGTATGTAATACATTATATATTATACTACTGGCAGATAGGGCAGCATAATAATAATAATTACTCCACCGAGGCTTTTCGTGTCGGTCATGACAACCGTCGTCGTATTATTATTATATATAAATATAGCAGCAGCCAGCAGCACACCTATTCCTCAGCCGGCGGTCGGGTCTCCGGCGGGACCAGCCCCTGCATTGTTCCACACCAGTAGTGGTAGCGGTCGCGGTGTGGGGGTAAAGAGAGGGCGAAAGGAGCGATAAATAATTCATAGACACCGTCGAGTAGAGATGATGGCATCAAGAGTTAGTGTGTGTTAGTGCTATATAGGTACATAATATTAATATACCTTTTCGTATACATCTACAACGGCAATATGACCTAACCGAGTACCGACTTTGTGGTCCAGGTTTTGATTTCAGACTATGTAATCAATTTTTTTTTTTTAATTAGTAGGTAATCACCCTTGACCAATTACTGGAAATAACTTTATAACCTTACACAATAAAATAACTTAAAATATACATTTTATTTGGGCGACTATTATAACTTATTAAATAG